ACATGGTTGAACAGGATCCGGGAACAGCCGATATGTTTGCAATTGACCGGGCCCGCGTGCTGTCTGCAATCCATGAGCTCTAGTTAATATTAACTCACCTCGCCACCTCAAATGTACTTCGGAGCAGTTTGTTGGATGCGAGAGGATGATTACTTTGGGACTCTTAAGCTCGCATGTGCTTGATTTGATGATCCGATATGTGGTTAGATATGATAGGTAACAGTTGAGTTGACATGAAGTTGAGTTGTTGATGGGGACGGCATGTTTCAGGAAGGCGTTGATGTGACGGGCGTTTCGTCAATTCCGCTTGTCAAATCTGCGGATTAAATGCTGCGAGAGATCCGTCAGTGTACCCACCTATCGCCCAACAGGGCCGTCTACGTGGCTGTTTTCCGTTTCGAAAGTTCAATGAAAGTCCCAGTCGTTCTTCAAGAAAATTCCATTCCCAAACATGTAAGCCGAATCCGATTCCCTGCATTGCTGTACGGTAGGTAAAGAAAGGTGCGAATAAAAAAAAGAAGAACAGATCAAATTTTTTTCATTGGATATATCCTTCGCCAGGGGTACCGGGACATGAAATCGTGAATCCCAACCCTTTAAAACCTCCGCTCAACCCATTCGCGCCGTTTCCCTAGATTGCATTTTCTCTCGAGAACACCGCCTCTTCGACGTCGACACGCTTAGAACTTGGAGAAAGCCTTGACGGCCTTGCCGGTGCGGGGCAGGACACGGAGGGTGTTGAAGCGAACCTATTAAGCAAAGCAAGTCAGAGTGTGTTCGTTGATAAAAGCGGATGGAATAGCTGGACTGGGAGGTATATGGTTTGCGGAATTTGCGGGCACGTACAGTCTTGCTGAGGGGACGGCACTGGCCGACGGTAACCCAGTCACCTTCCTCAACACGGAAAGCGGGGGAAACGTGGGCAGCAAGGTTCTTGTGGCGCTTCTCGTAACGGTTGTACTTGGGGACGTAGTGAAGGTATTCACGGCGGATGACGATGGTACGGTGCATCTTGGTGGAGACGACACGGCCGGTCAGGATACGGCCACGGATGGAGACCATACCGGTGAAGGGGCACTTCTTGTCTAAAGTTGCAGGTCAGCAATCGAACTCACTGTGGTCGAGATAAAGCGTAGAGCGCAGTGCGTAGGTGGATCATCCTCCTCGAAGTCTGAGAACTGAGAATCGAGAGTCGAAATCGAGTCGCTACCCCGGATATTGCAAGTCTGAACTCCTTCCCTTGAATCGCAGTCGCTCTGCGAAAGTATCGATATGAATGCCGTATATTTTCCATTTGCTGCCCGCGCATTCTCATGTTCAGACTTCGAGGAAGTAACCGCTGCCCTTTGCCGAACCGCCATCTCAAACCGGAGGAAAAATTCTTCGTAGGTCGTGCATACCAATGTAGGTGCCCTCAATGGCGGTCTTGGGGGTACGGAAACCCAGACCGACATCCTTGTACCATCGTCGAGCCTGGCCAACCTTCTTGCTCTTCGCCTTGGTCTTGGGGTTGAGGAAGATGTGAGGCTGCTTCTGGAACGCACGCTCCGACTGGACGGTCAACTCGGTGGCCATTTTTGCGAGAATACAGTCCGACGAGGAAACAAGGTCGAGCTGGGTGGGAGATTCGTCGCGAAGGGGTTGTCGGATTGTTCGGTGTCGACGTCGACTTGAGGAAGACAAAATTAGGGATCGCGGATATTCACTGTGGGAGTTGTGCGGTGGCTGCGCTAGTCTTCTTTCGGAGTCTCTGCGGATCGGCTAGGGCTGTTATGTAAGCCCGTTTGTTTACTTTTCAAGATCACATGACTGCCCGCCGGGGCGACGCGACGGGGAGACCGAGGCGTCATTGCTCAAATCATCAACCAATTCATCGACAGATCTATATCCTCCGGGGCACTGGGGTGGGCGTATTGCTTCGTTATCGTCTATGAGCCCCAGCGACACCAATGGCGACAAGAGATGACTCCGCGGGGTCGTCCCGTCCGCGCTCTCGTCGCTCCATCGCTCATGTATCCCGATCGAGACTCACTGCTGGAGGGGATAAAGAGAATACAACAATGGACATCGCCTCTCAACCACTAACTGGTCGCCAAACGGCACTGGGAAAGGAAAAGAAGTCTCGAAGCAAAAGTCTGGGACCTGGAGGTTTAGATGCACTTCAAGCTTCAAACGGAAACCGACGAAAGGTATTGAGTCTCCGCATCCCGCTATATCGCTCCGTTCTGGACTGGTCGCTCATATGTCTATAGTCTGCCGCCGTGTTTCCGCTAAAGTCGATTCTCAAACCTACAGCCCCCGTATCCCCAGTACGAAATATTCCGACATTTGAAGAAACGCGCAGGAAAACACCAGCCCGTGGAGCGAAGGGTCAGGAATCCAGCAGCGGCTCAGCGCAAGAAGGCCTTTTGATCGATCTCGACACGCCCGCCCAGAAAACCGCTGCTAACTCGGAAGACCAAACGAACCCATTCGATACGTTTGACGCTGATACCATTCGCAATGAGATGGCTGCTGCAAGGGAACAGGAGGAGAAAGAAAGGCGTGAAAGGGAAAGAAAAGCGGCTTTGGAACACAGAGAAGCTCGGCGCAAGTCGATGGGTACGTTTTCTGATATGTCCGAGTTATCACTGTGCCGGACTGACTGATCTTCAAGCCAACCGTCGTGTATCTTTTGCGCCTGAGGCGACATTGCATACGTGGAATGTGGTGGAAATTCCCGACGACTCGACATCCTCATCTGCTTCCAATTCTACTCGACGTGCATCTGCGTTGTCTAACGCCCAGAACCAACCTGCGCATACCCCGAAACAAGTCGATCCTTCGAGCTCGCCCGAGATCGATGCCGAGTCGGATATTGCCTTCTCCCCAGTTCAGTACCCTGATCTGGAGCGACTTAGAAATCCGCCGCCTAGTGGAGGCTATGATGGAGTTGGCTCCTCTCAAGATATGTTCTCGAGTCCTTTTAGTGGGAGCGACAATAGCGAGGATACGGGACTGCATTCCGCTTCTAGGGATGACGACGATGACGACGACAATGATGACGACGATAGCTCTATAGCCTCCGGCTTTGAGGGTGAAAGCACCGCGATGAGCCTGGACGATACTGCCCACTCCCGAGTGACCGCCCAAACAGATGGATCCGAATCCACTTCAGGCACCCATCGCTTGAATGAAGCTTTACGACAGGCGGGAACTCGGGGCGTCGATGACGAGGATGATGAGGATGTATCCATGGAGATTGCTGATCAGGAGATTACTGGCGCCTTTCAGCCTTGGATAAAAAAGGGAGAAAGGCAGAGCTTCGATTGGGAAGATATCAGCGCGCGGCACGACCAGGAAAATGTTCAGCCCTCCAAACCTTCGAATTTTGGTCTCTCGGAGGCGGGTAGCGATAACGGTGACGAGGATCTTAGCATGGAAGTGACCAATGCCATTGGAGGCATCATCCCCAATTCGCGTCAGAGTATCGGCCGTCGCAGGTCAATCGCGGAGGAAACGAACTACGAAGAGCAGACCATGGAACTCACCAATGTGGTGGGAGGTATCGCGCAACCCGGTTCGCCAACGAAGTCAGTTGATGCCAACAGCGAGATGGACAATGATGAGGAGATGACGATGGAATTCACGTCGGTTGTTGGAGGAGTTCTGAATAAGATCGCGCCTCAAAATGTCGACGAGAACCATAGCACACCAGCCCAAGACCGAGATGATTCCGAGTGGAACAACCCTGATGGCGAAATAGAAGACGGTGTTGATATGGAGATAACGGGAGCGGTTGGTGGTATACTCCCACCTGCCCCGGAGGAAGTCGGATCCGACGACGAAGACCAAACCGCAGGCATGGATTTTACTGCGGCTATGGGCAAGATATTGACGCCTGAACGCGCGAGCCCGGATAAGGCAGAATCGCAAACTGGCAGCTCTCCTTTCCAAGACACTGTCAAAGCGTCCCCAGCTAAATCACCGCCAAAGTCGCCGGCAACCTTTCACGTCACCGCTGTCGCTTCTGAAAGTGGCAGCCCCAGTTTGGCTAGTGTCAGGTCAAGACCTACGAGACAGAGTTTGAGCCGTACAACCCCATCGACGCCGACACCGGTGACCCCCGAAGAATCGCTCTCTAAAGAAGCCTCGAACCTTCCCATACAATCGGCTCCAGTAGAACAACCCTCTACTCCAGTACCGTCATCGCCCTCTAGAAGCGATGGCATTCGCAGCACATCGCCGAAGAAACTATTTCAGCCCGAGATCCAGGCATCAGACGGCCAACAGAAATCTCCAGGTCGAAGAAGCCTCTTTGGCTCCAATGCGACGGGAACGTCTACTCCTCTATTTGTCCTTCGGCCTCCAGGAGCGAGACGCTCCTCAGGCCTTGGGATCGACAGAGAAGGACTTGGATCTCCAAAAGTTGCAGCGATGCTTGACAAACGGCGCTCCATTGGTGAGGAAGCTGGTGACTTTGTCCCACGACCACAAGGGGTGCGTTTTGAGGATCCTATCAAGCTTCAAGAGGAAGTTGATCGGGAACGCGAGGAAGAGGAAAGCCGGGAAGACGGTCATATTCAGCCTCCAGACCCTACCGCGAATCTGAGAGATATGATCTCAAGCCTCACGCCGAAGAAGAATAAGCTCCGCGGCCGCAAGAGTCTTCATGTCGGCGCTGCACGAGGAATTCTTGGCAAGCGCCCGGCGGAGCTAGACATAGATGACGAAGATGAAGGGGAGAACACCCCGAAGCGGTTGCGGCGCCGCGAGGATATGAGTCCTGTGAAGAACGTCAGACTTCCTCCTCCTCCGAGCAAGGAAGAAACAGTTGGTCGTGCCCGATCGCCGGTTCGCAAGTCCATGGCAGCATCTCCCTCAAAGCTTAGCACAACGCCGACTCAAGAACCAAGGGTAGCTGCTTTGGCGAACGCTGCGCAAGATGAGTCAGTAACTGCCTCACCAGAGGTTGTCATGTCCGCTGAAGGTGCTGGTGATGATAATCCTGAGCCGGAAGTTGAACCAATACAACTGCAAGAGTTCTTGAACATGACCAATATTCACTTCATGGAACTTACGACCACTAAGAGACGACACACAACAGCGCCTGATAGCATCAGCAAAAGGGCAGCTAGGCTATCTCTTGAGGGTGATGGCAAGTCCAGTGCTGCTAACTTTGATGACTGTGTGGCTGCCGGCTTCTGTACTGTGCCAATGTTGGAGTTGTACCAGCATGTAAGTGGACAAATCACGCAAGATGATATATACTAACGACTCTAGTCCTGCCGAGAGTTGAAATCATACATCTCCGAAGGTCGTCAGATAATTCGATCCATAGAGACCGAAACCTATGCCGACAATCCGCCCCTGTTCCGGGAATATATGACCGCTGCGCCTGACATCCGTTTGCTGATGGACAACCAGTTTCGGAACGTCAAAACCCACACCAGACTGCTGAGCAAAGCTACATGGTACGAGTGGCGTATGAAGCTCCTTGAGGGTTTGAAGGAGGGCTTGGATCGACACATGGAGGAGATGAAGGGGGATGATAATCTCTTGTCAAAACATGAAACGATCTTGAACGAGGCCATGCCTGTCCTCTCCACGAAGCATGCGACGCTAAAGGAAGAAGCTACACAGTTGCAGCAACTGGCAGATGAACTCGAGAACTGTGACCAGGATGAGCTCTGGAATGCGCGGAACAAGCTTGTGGACTTGGAGGAGGAGATCGAAGCCCAGAAGAAGCTGCTGGCAGAATTGCAAACGCAAGTACAGGACAATACAGATACCATAGAAACAGGCGCGGAGCTCAAGGCAGAATTCACGGCTCAAATCCAGGAGGCTGAAAGAGTCAAGGAAGAATGCCGTGGATGGAGCGCCAAGGAAATCCGTGAACTGAAGGGTATGCTCTGTCGTCCAATGCTTTTGTCGAGCCTCACTGACCTTGGTAACAGACTCCGTCCATCGCATTGAGCAGCAGACAGGGTGGTCTATTAGTTCGGCATCTTCCTCGGAAGCAGGCCCTATGGTGACCATGTCTTACCGACATCAACTCCAAGTCAAGTTCCACCCCGGTTCATTTTGCATTGAGGGCGAGAACAGAGACTCTTCACCGCAAAAGGACAACACGCCGGTAGAGCTGGGCTATCACCCCGAGAACGAGGGAAAATCAATCCAAACGCGTCCGCTCTCACCTATCGTGCTACTCATCCTGAAATCCCTGCAAACCCACATCGCCACGATTAATCAATCAAAGGTCACCTCAAAACAGCTTCTACGCTTCGTCTCAACAGCCTGGGACCTCGCGACAAAAGCTGAAGAGGAAGCTCGTATGCTTGGATTTCACGGCGTCACCAACCTCCGACTCTCCGAGATTGAAAGGCCCTCTCTTCGAGCGCGATGCACTCTCCTCGGAACCGTCCCTCTTCCAACCGAGTCTAACTCGTCATCAAAGTCCGAGAACAAGAGTAACGGGAAGAGTCGAATTGACGTCGACTTTGCCGTGACAACGCGCATTGTAGACACGAACGACGAGAATGCACTCGGCGTCCTGGATATCCAGACCGAGGTCATCGCTAGCAAAGTCTACGGCTTCGGGACGGATAACACTACCGGACTCTCTGAGAAAGAGATGCGCAGCATCCTGAGCAAGGAGCTCAAGGCATCGAACAAAACAGGCGTTAAGTTCGGGAGCGGAATCTGGAGTAAGGCGGTCCAGACGCTTGAGGGGAAGGTGTTCTAGTCAGGCTGTTCAATTCTAGCACTATTGTCGATTTATCCTTTCGTGATGATTAAGCGGGTGTCCAGGTTTGCTTGCTGCATTGGGGGTTTTTGTTACGGCCTCGCTTGTTAGGTACCTGTTTATGGATGCTCTGCGCTTTTATTGTTCGTTTGTCGTCTTAACGCCGATACCACAATTTGACCTACGCAAGCGATTTGATGATGAATTGTGTTCTGAACGTTGTGGCACTATATATCCTTCAGCGTAGATTGATTATATTTGTGATTACTATGTGGCCTGATAGATAGGAAAAAATGGATTGCCGGGGCTAGACAGCGCCCAACAGCGAAACTAAAACGCGTCTCCGAACCACATCGGCGGCTGTGATTGGGGACCAGGACCAGACGTGGAAGCAGGACCGCCGTTGCTCTGGTTCTCACTTCCGTATCCGTACCCCACAGGCACCGTCCCATTCATCATTGTTGGCACGGACACCGGCACCGAGGACACAGGGACGGCGGTAGTCGCAGCTGCCGAGTTCATGCCCATGGTCTCTGACCCCGGTCCCTGGTAAGGGAAGCCCTGTTGCGGGAACATATTACCCATATTCATGTCCATGTTCATACCCATGCCCATTCCAAGGAACTGGCCTTCAAAGCCGAACTCCCAGTCTGCTGTGAGAGGGATCTGCCATAGGTCGGGCCCGGGTTGCGAGAGAGGGAATGTGAACGGGGCTGTGGTGGAAGCGTCTGTTGGGGTGGGAAATGAGAAGGTAGCTGTAGCTGTGTTTGTGTGGAAGGTTGACGATGTGTAGGGGGGTTGTTGGGAGCGGAGTGTAGATTGATATTGGTTTATGTTTGGAGGATTTGATGTGTGTGGGTATGGTGGTGGTCGGGTTGAAAATGTGTTGCTGGGACCTGAAGATAGAGGAGGTGGGGTTTGGCTTGGGCTGGACGTCGGACTCTCGGGCACAACATAGCCGGAGGAGTTGATTGGAGGTAGGCCTTCAAGGTTGGGGATGTTGACGGATGTGGATGTGGATGTTGATTGGAATTGAGCTTGGGGTTGGGTTTGTGATGTTGTTGTGGCTTGCGTGCTGTGGGCTCCGCGAGTTTTAGAGGCTTTCCCTCTGCCATCCGGATCTGCGCCTGGTCTGATCGTCTTCTGCTCTCGTTCAAGGACAGTGCGGGCGATGCGCTCGAAGGTCGTGCTCATGCGTGTCATGAATCGCGCGTAGTTGCATGGCCCGTCGGCTGGAACGAGCGTGGCGAAGAACGTCGCTGCCATGTTCAAGGATTGCAGATCGTCTTTGGCGGCTGGCTGCTGGCTGTTGCGGAGGATGTTGGCAAAGACTGTCATGACTGCTAAGAACACATAATAGAGTAAGGACCTGTTGAAAGCATTAGCACGAGTAAGTAACGGTGAAGAAAAGCTTACCATATCCAGGCAACATCGCCCCAGGGTAGATGATTTATTGATTTGAGGATATCCCTTGCAGCCTGAACGCAGATAATCGCGGAGGACGCGGACTGGTTCAGTATGAGCCTCATGTCTATTTGTGGAACGCTATCGGTCCGTGACTGGTACACGAAGTTCATTAGCATTGGGATGCGGTGAATCATCATGAGAGTGTTGTTGTATATCAAAAACAGGCCAGCGGAAGCAAATCCGGCCAGGAAGTCTTCGCCGCTACCCCTTTGCCTGAGCAAGGCTTCAAACTGGCTGTTCCTCTTCCAGTCCTGTAAGTCGGCGTGTAACTTGTGAACCGTCTCGCAAATTTCAGCTGTCGATTTATTTTCCAAGCCCCGCGCTGAGTAAAAGTGCTTGTATGTACGGCTTCTGATGACTGAAACGCGGCAGATTTGTGGAAAAACTGACTTGTTGTCAACGATCATCAGTCCCTCGGTTTCCTCGGAAGGAAAATCGACATCATAATCGTCAAGCTGCTGCGTCGGCGCACTCCCTAGTCTGATAGATATGCTATGTAACATTAGGTCGGAATTCTTACAAGTAGCGGATAGCGTACCTCTGATCAATAATATATGCGATCCAAAACACGTTCCTTCTCTGCTGCTGCTCTAGCTTAGATAGATGAGGCCGGGGGTTTTCACGATGAAGCCCCATGCGATGAGACGCTCGTATGGCGGCGGTCACAATGGGCATTGTCGCCTGGGAGCCAGAGTTACCTCGAAGGAATATTGCCATACCGAGAAGGGCTTGAACGCTCAGTAGGTCCGTCCGTCGTAGTACAAGCTCGGGAAAGACTGAGAGCGCGTTCTTGTAATATAGCCACGCCTTTTCCCTATCTTTTTCCGACTTCTGACTATTTGAGAAGCGATACTCGTAAGCGAGGGCAAGCATGATATTGATACTGGCCCACCGAGCCGCATCGTCGCAGGCCTGCTGAGTATACTGCCATTCGACTAGTTGCATGAACGTCTTCTCGTGATACAATGGGAAAATGAGGTTCACGGTCCTGAAATAGTCTTGGAGCAGAGAGAATACCTCTGCCCTCGGTGGAAGTGGCTTGAAGACTTTTGAGGCGAACAAATCGTGGAATACATCAGGCCGCCATTGGGCCCAAGGACTATCAAAATTCGAATTCGAATTTGATAACAGTGAATTAAGAGAGTTCCCTTCGCCGGACCTCTTTTTGATCCACTCCACTCCTTCCCGGGTCAAAATTGACAGAGGCGAGGATCGTCCTGGACAAGGTCAGCAACAACTCTGTGCAGCATGACTGGTCATGGCAGCCAACATACCATAGTACAGCGAGTTTCCTTTCTCTACCTTGTATACCGGTGGCCCACCTTTCGTCGCTGAGCGCCTGCGCTCATGAGGTTTAGTCAACGCATTTCGGTCGGATGGGAAATCTGGATATCCTGGCTTGGGCGGATGTCTTTCGACAAAGGCTCTGCCGATGTATGTGTTTTCCGACTCGGCATTGCGCACGAAGTCCTGATGAAGACTTGGAGGGACGTCTTCGCCATCCATAGAATTGTCATCTTCAGTCTCATCTTCCGAGTGGCTACTGTTGTTGCCGAAATCTGCGGTTTCTACCGATAGTCCAGCGGCCCTGAGTAAAGCTTCGGTCTTCCTTAGGCGCTCCTCTAAACCCCTTACATAACGCGATCTAGGAGTTTTAGCCAACGCCGTCCCCGTGTGTTTGGACAAGAACTCGATACCTTTTATGCTTCTCCCCGCCGGAGAGGATTTTGCAGTTCTGATTACGGCGCATACATTGCATACAGGTCCCGGCAGACTCGTCAAACTCACATTTGATCTTCTTCTTGTGGCACATCTCACATGCCTATTGAGCCAAATCACTATGGTGCTCAGCAGGACGACGAAAAGGTCTGCTTACCAGTGGTTTACGTCGGAGTCTAGAATCATGGCTATTGCTGAATTTTGCATTTCCGCGAACGCCAGGCATCCGGGCAGGCCTTGGGCTAGCGATCGGTCCTGAGGGTTGCATAGCTCCACCTGAGGCAGTAATAAGAGGTAGATGGGATCATCAGTGTTTCTGGCAGCGCATGGGGCGCCGTAGGGCCCTCCGGGAGTGGGCCAGTGTGCCTGTTCCCAAGTATCGAACCGGCCGAGACCGCGGCTTGCAAGAGCCGGCGAGGATAGAGTTTTGTCGAGTACGACCGGCAAGCCGCTGCGCCACCGGAAATATTCGCAGGGAGCCGTCACCGTGATAGAGGGATGGCGTGATGATGAAAAGCAATGCAATGTTGGTGAGAAATGCGAGTCCAGTTTGTGGCGGAGAACCCCGCTTAGTCATGTCTCCGCAGTCGGATCGGAGCCACGCTTCCGCCAGCTTGAGCCTTCAGTGATGAGCCTTCACACCGCAAGGTCCGCAACGGTCATGGCCGGCAAGCTTGGTAGCCCGTGCTTTGCGGGGATTTCCAGCCGAATCTTATTCCATCAAGATCCAAGACAACATTGAGAAACTATGTAAGGCTACTGAGGCTTGATGAAGTATGATTGAGAGCTTTGACCCAGAAGTCTGAAGACGAGGGACTGTCCGGGGTCGATTTTCATTAAAGCTCGTGGCAGTCAGTCCCTTGCTTCCGCTACCCGCATCCTCGTGAATCTTGCAAGGCTATCTCAAGGAGTAGTGCCTCCGAAACAGAGTAAACATACTACATCGTAAGTAATGGCTCTGTACCACTCGGCTGGCCTTCCGATCCTTCGGTTGGCGATAGACCTAACCCCGAAGCTAACAGAAGTGGCTCTCCTAGTACTACACTGAGAGAACTGAGCTCATAAAGAGTACCCCCACGCTTTGTCGGCTGTCTCGTTCGTGTACGTAAGAAGAAGCCTATATCCATCTACTTCTTCGACCTCGGTTTGCATTGAAATATGACGACATTCAGAGCGGAGGTGTGTGTGGGTACAAAGCCAACAGGCACAGACTGAAAGACTGAGAGTCTGAGACAGCCTTCGAGTCTGGAGACGAAACCGCGAGACGGGACAGTCCGAAGCTCCAAGGGCACAGGGCCTATTAACAATGACGGTCTATTCATGCAGCCTTTTCTGATCTGGGGAAGAACTGCGTTTCCCTCCTGATACCTGAGTCGACCCGGCCAAAGACTGTCGATCATGATTCAGCTTCCCCGGAGCAGCGTCAGGAGTTTCTCCTTGCTACAAAATCGGTGGCAGACAGTAAGCAGTACGAGCTAACTCATGAAAACTCGCAACGCTTTCACCTTCAGCCTTGTCCGGCATTTAGATCGAGATCCATCTCCTCGGAGGCCAACACCGCCAAAAGTACGGCGATATAGATTGCTCTCCAAGCCACAGGGGCGGGAAACAAGCTTGGAAAGGAAGCACCCCGGCTTGCGGGATTCCACAGCGGAATCTTAAGAGCTTGAGGAGCGGCAGTTAACGCGCGTCTGGACCGCTGTGATTTGCTCCGGAAATGAAACGATTCGACGGCCATGTACTGTACCGTCATAGTTTACATTGGGCCCACACTCTAAGGTACGAATACTTTAGCCTTACGAGCACTCCCACCTAATATTGGTAAAATATGGTATACTATTGTACTGTACTGTAATCTGCTGTTAAGCAAGCGGTAATGAGATTTCAGCAAGAACCCCCTGCCAACCCCGTCCCTGACGATGTTTATCATACTATGTCCTCTTGGACTTTCTGAAATATATCATCAACCTTTTTATCTTCTAAGTCATAACTCCTCCTCCTCTTCTGTCTTACCCGACTCTTTTCAATCCTCCAGCCCAGCGCTCTCAAACCAGGTTGCTGTACAGCTCGGCCACATTGTCCGCGACAGCCAATCAGAACAGGCGATCACGACATTTCTCCATTAGATCAGATCATCAACTAGCAACAAGGCGTAAGACGATCCCAGCACCCGTCGCCCTCCTCCCACCAGACAATCTTGTGGTGTGAAAAGAAAAAGACTCGGTCTTTTGTCTGCCTGTAACTGCGTTTGTGGCCACTGCGGTCCAGCCTCGGATTTCTCCCGCCTCTCGTGCTGCTGCGTACGTGGCCGCGTTATGCGACTGATCATTGATTGATTGAATGGAAAGCTTGCTGCTGCAGATTCAAACAGATATCTTGGTCCAATTCCATCCTGGCAAGGCAAGGTTTTGAGTTCCTGTTTCCCAATCGCTGAATCATCCCTCATCCTTCCTGTGCGCCCCTGGCCCAGCTGATCGGCTGGCGACATTCCCGTGCTTCTGTCACCATCGATTCCCGGTCCCTCTCGCTCCCAAGACAAGCCACCCAAGCATTCTGTGTGGCCAGCTGGAAAGCAGGCCAATTTACCACGCCCTCTATTCCAGCCAGCTCCAATCAAATTAAAGCCGGGGCCAAGATAGAAAAAAGCGGGGAGAGGTTGGACAGACGGCGCGGTCTTACAAAAGCACCTGGTCCTGCAGCAATATGTCAGATGAACAAATTGCTCGTCAGACGGCGGCCTCGAGCTTCGATAAACTTGAGAACTTCAATTTTCTGCTCTCTCGACACGACCCCGAGGCCGCGAAGCACCGACAGTACTCCTTTGACACGGACGCTGCGGCTAGTTTGGCTCACGTCCCCAGTCTAAACATGCCCTACGATCCTACCGAGGGCATGGGCGGCTTGTCCGTCAGTTCGTACGAGAGCATCGAGGACGAGCACAGTCCGATCGATGTGCGAGGATATCCGTATCATGGTAAGTCTGAGATTGAATGACGCTGCATATTGCATTCCTTGCGCCATTTTCGTGCTGTTTGGTTCGTTTCCTTGCATGCTTTGCTCATCCAACGTCGGATGGTGCAAGAGCTACTGCGCTCGGGTTACATCTGCTGGTCCGGAGCTATGCAACTTTTCTGGGGAAGAGCCCTGGTGTTTGTTTGTTGTAGCCTGGGCCAGCTGCCCGCTATTTCGACCCTCCCCTAATGAGCATCGCGAACCCATGCTGAGTGTCGTTTGGGAAATTGGTCAAATCCTGCAAAGCAACCAATACCGTTGATTTAATTGTTTCTTTTCTTTTTTTGGATTGTTGTCGTTCCCTTTTCTGTCACGCCCGCTTTGGTTAACACGATGTGAGCACGCAATCGATCATCCTTATGACATCGTCGGTAGCCTGTCAGTGCCAGGCCTCCCCAAGTTTCTATGCCCGGTCAATCTAAGGCCCTCCGGAGTTGCATGTCCCTTATGAAACCCCTTCTGCGCCTTATCTCCTTCTTATCCTGTTGCCTCTGTTGTCCTACCAGTTCTTGCGGTTACTTATACTCTCTCCAACAGCTGGCGACAAAACCATCAACTACTCAGTATCCGACCACATGCTCTCACACTCAACTTATCCTCTCTATCCTCCAATCTCATACGGCCCTGATGAAATTAGCCATGTACCGGGCGCCATGACGCCTTCAGATGTGTCCTCGTCCATCTCACCCCCCAACGGCCAAATTGGCAACAACAAATACAGCACCCAGATCTCAGGCGACCACATCGCATCCGCCCTCGGCCAGGAAGAGCACTGTCGCCGGGCCGCCGAAGAGGACCGACGGCGCCGCAACACCGCAGCAAGCGCCCGATTCCGCATGAAGAAGAAACAGCGCGAGCAAACCCTCGAACGCACTGTGCGAGAAACGACCGAGAAGAACGCCAGCCTTGAAGCCCGCGTCGCTCAACTTGAAATGGAGAACCGCTGGCTCAAGAACCTCTTGACCGAGAAGCACGAAGCCAGCTCCACCCGGCTGCCTCCGCCCCCAGCAACAGACTCCTCGCTGAGCCATCAAAATACGACCGTCACGGGAAGCGGGCAAAAACATATTCAGCCAAAAAAGAAGGGCGTCGGCACCGGCAACTAGGCGCTAAAATGAAGTTATACTTGCTTGCTGCTTCTGCTTTTCGTTTGCGAGTTTTCTGCGTACTTCATGGATACCGGGGCGACGTTATATTGATTGATATTATGGGATCATTCTGATTGATACCCTCCTCATCTGGCTTTCGACTCTCGAGTCATCCACGGGATGGAGCAATCTGACGATGTAATGACATTCTTTCTCTACTCTCTGATTGTTGTGCTGCGTTGAGTATGTACTGGGGAGGTCAAATTAGGAACACGATGGTCAACATCTAGAACCTCGTTTCTCTTTATTTATGGTATATAGTAACTGCTACGGAGTATCGGTTGGGCCGCGTGCTTGCTTTGCCAGTCTACCAGACAATCCTGACTATCATGCTTGATCTTACCCATTCGACGTCCGTAGCACCTGGCGAAGCACGAGCTGCCTCACCTGGGCATTGATGTGCAGGCAGAACCTCGGCCGAACCCAGAAGACGCGGCTCATGTACATCTCCTTACGGTATCGCCAGGCCCGGCCCTCATTGCGCCATCTGGACTAATATGACCTACTACCCGTGGATCCATTACTCAACCACTACCCCGTATGGAGTCTCCGCGGTTATCCGTCAAACGACCTTCGGAGCCAAGAACTCATATGAGCAATGGGATGGATCAGGCACGGTCTGAGTCGTGATCTGGCTTATAGCTGATCGCGTGGAGCAGGAGGGTTGAGTTGAGTCGTGGTATCCGCACTATACCTAGCTAGTGTGGCGGCGTCTGTGGCCCTGGCTCCCGGGACAGGGTATCTGATATGGCAGCTCCTTATTCCTCACTAGCCTCCAATTTCTTGTCCACTTGTTAGTCCTTGCATCGGTGGTAATGCTAGGCTGGCTGCCCTGTACCTCAGTTGTACTTCCCCGAGGACAGCCCGCGGACTCCTGGTATAACCTTTCCCTCTGCACCCCAGTCAGTTATTATCCCGAGCTGGATGGGCATTGGGCACACGACCACGACCACGACCACGACCAGGCCTCCATGGTATGGTCGCTGTCGGGCGCTGAATGGCAGGTGACGGATGGCAGGACCGACGTCGAGTCCCCTTCACGACTGCCCAGCCATTGTTCCAGGTGGGCTGAAACGGCTGGCCTTGGAATCAGTGTGCCCAAGTGATTGTGTCTACATAGTACGAGCGCCAAGGCTACAGTACCCTACTGCCCTTCTTGTTCTAGTACCTACCTGGACTAGAGCGTGTCTGCAGCGACGGGTCAGAACCCCTTAACCGCTCCCTTAATTAAAAGGGGTTTAGCGCCGTTCTAAAACGGAAGGCGGTTTAAAAAATTAAGGGAGACGCTCCCTTGTTAAGGGAGCCTATTCCTTAATAAAATTAGGCTTAGTGTGTTATTAGTACCTGTTTTAAATTAAGGCCTTTTATTATAACTTTAAATCGCGTTAATATATTTATTTAAAGTTACTTTATATTAAATTTATATATAAAGTTACTTTTTAAAAATAAAAAATTTTTAACCCTAGTTTTAAGGCAGTGCCTAAAGTATATAGTAATAATTATTTTAATTTTTTTAACTTTTATTGCACTTACTACCCCTAGTTACTAATATATTAGTTTTATAGCTTTATTTTTTTATATTAATAGCCTTTTTAATAGTTTAAATACCTACGTTGCTTATATATTTACCTGCGTAAGTAAGTACCTTATTATTACTAGTATTAACTATACTTAAACCCGTGCTAGCGCCCGCGCTAGCACCTGTAACTAAGCTTATAATTAAGTTTATAATTAAGCCCTTAACTAAGCCCTTAACTAAGCCTGTGCTAATAGTACCCTTAATAACCTAAATATTTATAATATTTATAAATTTACCTACACGGGCAAGTATTTTATTATTATTAATATTAATACCTTTTAAGCTAGCAAGACAAGCTAGTAAAAATATAATATTAAAAAATTAATAGCTTATTAAGGCCTGTAATATTAATTTATAATTATATATAATAAGTACTAGCCCTATGGTATTTTAAAAAATAATAAATTATTAATTTAAGCGGGTTACTTATAGGAATTAATATAGTTTAAAAATAGCTTAAAAAAAGCTTTTAAACTTATGGCTAAATTTAATATTTAGCTTAAAAAAAAGGTAATAAGCAAGAAATACACTAAAAATAGCTATATAAAAAACGCCTTACTTAAATTCTTAGCTTATTTAGGTTTTATTAAAAGCGCTAAAAAAACATAAAAATTACAGGTAACTAAGCAGGTAAATAATAATAAATATATAATAATATATTATAATAATTTAAGTAAAGGCCAAGTAAGAAAATAAGCTAAAAAAAGTACTTAAAATAAAGCTATTTTAACCTTTTTTAACATGCCTATTAAAACTATTATTTTAACCTTTTTTAACACGCCCACTAAGCTTAATAATAATATTAATATATTAAAAACCCTTTCTTACCCTTTTATTATACTGTTAAAAACTTTATACTAAATATTTAAGGATTATTAAATAACCCCTTTTTAAGTAAATTTTATATAAATTTTTAGTTAAATAATTTTTAAGTATTTAAAGGCAAGCCCCGCGGGCAGCAAGGTGCAGGATTTTAAAATAAAAATAAATTAATTTAATTATTAGTTAAAAAAGCTATAAAATACTTAAGGTTAAATATTAGGCTTTATAAAGCGCCTTAACCACTACTTTATAAATTAGGCTTACCTAAATACTTTTTAACTATTATTAGCATTATATTAAAGCGCTTTAATATTAAATTTCCGCGCCTAGTACACAGGCAAGTTAAAATATTAATTAAAAAAATAATAATTTAATATTTTACTATAATAAAAATTATATTAACTTACTAATATAGCTTAAATACTAGGTATTTCTAGTTTTTAGTAATTAAATTAAAAGCCTGCTTAATAAAAATTTATAACTTTAAAAAATAAATATTAAATACCCTTTACTTAAAGGTAAGGCCCCTTAATTTTTTATATAGCGTAATAATATTATACTTGCCTTTATAGGCATTATTTTTATATAAAAATAAAGTTTTTTTGCTATTATATAACTCCCTAAAAAGTTAATTAATTTTGCTTTTATTTTATATAAGCATGTTATTTACTTTACCTTTAAAAGGGCCTTATAAAAATAAAATTAAATTATTAATGTTATCACTGTTATAGTGTTGCAACTGCGCAGTGTTGCAATGACGCAATCCGGCGGCCTAAGGCCACCGGGCGGAGGAACATCAGCGCCAAACTAGCCGCGTGCTAAGGTGGTAGCTAGTTATATAATATATAAAATACTAAGTTTAACTTTAAACTCTAACTTAAAGAATTAGTAATTAGTTTTTATTATAAATATATAACACCTTTTTTATTATAATAATTTATATTTTTTTAAGCTTACTATAGTGTATAAACATAATTTATAGTTTTAATTACTTTTTTTTTTAAAAAAAAACCTATTTTATATAATAACTAGGTAATAAACTTAATCCCAGGGGCTAGTAAATAACACTTTAAAAAAGTAATTATAAACCCTAACTTAATATTTAACTAACATGCCTAAAAAAAAATTTATAAACTTTAAACTAAAAAATCCTAAGGGTGCCCCTGCTATTAAACCCTAAATTATATAAAAAATATTAAAATATAAAAGGCCTGCCCAGGGGCAAGAAAATAAAAATAGTAAAAAAATTATTAAGAAATTACAGGCAATGCTAGAAGCAATTCTAGCAAAAGAAAAGAAATTATAGGAACAAGAACGCCGTAGAAAAGAAGAAGAAAAACGCCAACAAATCCATGCCCAAATTGAAGAGTGGCTAGGCAACAAACTCGATCCCAGGGGCCGGCGGACAACGCTCTGGAAGAGCAACTGTAAACCCTAACTTAATGTTTAACTAACATGCCCGAGAAAAAATTTATAAACTTTAAACTAAAGAATCCCAAGGGCGCCCTTGCTATTAAACCCTAAATTATATAAAAAATATTAAAATATAAAAGGCCCGCCCAGGGGTAAGAAAATAAAAATAATAAAAAAATTATTAAAAAATTATAGGTAATACTAAAAGTAATTCTAGTAAAAAAAAAGGAATTATAAGAATAAGAATACTATAAAAAAGAAGAAAAAAAATGCTAATAAATCCGTGCCTAAATTAAAAAGGCACGCCAATAAATTGCAAGGGCTAAAGCCAACTAGTAAATATATAATATACTTATTTAATTTATTAAGTAATTAATAGTCCCGCGCTAAATAAACTTTAATAATCTTATAATTTTAAAGGAGATTACTAAAGGGGTTATAGTAATAATAATATAACTTAAAAAAAACTTTTTAAAAAAATTACTATTTATAAAACTATACCAGGCAAATAATATTAAAAAATTTAATAATTAAAAGTTAAATATAAAAACATACTTTAAAACCTTCCTAACCTATTACCTAAATAATAGCTATAAAATATTTTAATTTATTAAATTTTTAGCAAAGGACCGCAGGCGGGAATAGTTTAATATTTATAAAGTAAAAACTATATTTACCTAGAAAGAATTTTTTAACATGCTGGTTAAGATAATTAATAATAAAATAGTACTAGTTAATAACTTATTAATTAAGTAAGGTAATACAAAGTAGTAACTATAATAAACTATTAGGTAATTTATATAATTATTAAACTAAATTAAGAAATACCTACCCTATAAGTATAAAGATAATTAGCGCCAAGGACACCTATACTAAAAAATTCTAAAAAATATATAAAAAAAGTTTCTTATTTATAAATACTAAGAGCTAAAATACTATAATAATTATATATTATACTTAACAAGTGTTAAAAATAACATGCCCAAGCAAAAGAAAATAATTATAAAAAAAAAAAAAAAGTTTTTTAACTAAACTTATATAAGGTTATTAGTAACTAAAGTTAGGGCGCTTTTTATTATTAAAAAAAATATAAAAGTAAATACTAGTATAAAATAACCTAATAATTTAAATAATTTTTTATTTA